AGCAGGCCCTCCAGCAGTGTTGGGTTCTTGTTGTTAAAAATGGTGCCATTTGTTAAATATGCCATTAAAAAGGGTAATACATCTGCTTCATGGTTTTCTTTCTCTTTTTGTTTGGTAAAATAGTAGCAATCTATAACAAAACTGTATGCTATTCAACATAAACCATACAAACTATAAAGAACAACTAAATCAAAGTATTGTCCAGTCAGCTAGAGCCTATCATAATAGCGTGCACTAGGGCCTGTTTGTAACTACCTTACGTCACTGATTATTACTGATGCAGAGACAGAATCGTTTTTGGCTGACCTTGAATTAGAGATCGTCTGTGGGTTCCTTTAAGTCTTGGCACATTAGGCAAAGTGGACATTCACAAAAAGTGCACGACTCCGACAAGCAATGACTTTTGTTTTTATGAGCTGAGCTTAAACCAACTGAAATCGCCCCCTGACACAAATGTACTTTAAAATAATCTTTCCAAGAAAACCTGATATTTATTTCTCATTGATAAAAGAGAGCACAAGGGAGCCAACTGCATGATTACAGTCTCAGAGTTTTATAATCAACTGACTGCAACACGACATTGTACAAAAGAACATTTAGGACTTTATCATATTTATTTAACTTGATTCAATAAAAGTTAGTACATAAGCATACAAAAACAACAAGGTGGCATCATGCAACACAAGCACTCAAGCTATACAGTAACACTAAATCCATGCACTGTGCATGAAATCAATAAATATTTGCACTTCCTGTCTGGTGTTTTGATGCATTGTTATAGACCTTTTCTTTATTCTCATACCAAGTTGTTTTGTCTTCTCATTTCAGATGTACTTTACTGTACTTGTGCTTATTCCGTATTTAAATCTTTTTTTAATCTTGTTGTCAGTGGCAAGAAATGAGAACTGAATGCAATTGTATTTTCCCCAGAAAAGGTATTATTCTTTCCCTTCACTGACTATCGACTTGACATTAAACAACCCTAAAGAACTGGATTATTTATAGTTTCCAGTTTGTATTTGTCGGGCCTGTGAATGAGCCATATTATTGATATTGATTGAATGTCATTAGGCCGAGAGGCTGCATTGCTAAGTGATAGGTGAAGGAGTAAGAAAGTCAATGCATACATGATGAACTGTGACCACATGACACCAGACAGGGAAAAGATCCTGATCATTATTTATAAGTACTCTTACTGTGACTTGTCCCTGAGCGAAGCTATCTCTCATTTTAGAACTAAGTACATTATTTAGCAATGCTGCCAATGTTTTGTGTTTTGTATTTGGTTTTGAATTAAACAGGACTTGTGGCTGTTGTGACTGCTCTTTCCAATAAGCACATCTACAGAAGTGCCAATCCGTTGCTTTAATGGTGTCAATTCAAACTTATATTATTATACTAACTTCTCTTTGGGGAGCAATGCAAAATAATGGGACGCAATAGCCCGTAATGGACAAACCAAACACTGACTCTAAGGCCTTTTGCATTTTTTGCGGTTTTCATGGCCCCCGTAGTTTCTCCTACACACATGGAACAGGATGGTGAGGCGGGGGTTGTAATCTGCAATCTAATTGCTAGATGCCACTAAATATAAAATACTTTGTAAAAAAATTGACAGTTTAGGCATGTAGCCCTTGTTTATTCATATGATTTCTACAGTAGTTCCCGTGGTTTGCTAAATTTAATGAAATGTACACTTTTAAGTAAATTAAGAATCTAATAGTAAAACAACTTTCTAATCTCTGCAGCCTTTTTATAGTCCACCGACTTTGACTCCATGAGTGGCCCATGGTTACCAAGCATATGTCCAGGCATGCAAAGCGCCTGTTGATGACAGTAGCCAACATGTTTTTTTAATGAGCATCATCTGATCTTTACATTTTTCTGGCCTGCAGCTATTCCAGCCATCACAATTAGATTCACTCCCTTTGCTTTACAAAGCATCAGACCTAGGGAAACCACACACATAGGACTGACAGGGGAGTATTTTCCCTAGCTTTTATAAGATGATAACCTGAAACCCCCTTATGGCTGTGTGACTCTAGGATTACTCAGCCATTTTCTCTTTAACTGGCTCCAATAAATGAGACGAACATTGTTGGCCTGTCATGTTCTGCCCTCCTCTCTGTGGATCCTGGCTCTGTGACTGTCACACCACATCTGCCTGTGGGTTCGTGACTTGGCCTGTGCCTGACTGCCAGAGCAGCAGCCTCAAGGTTTTCACCTAATATGCACCTTAAAGGATTTGTAATGTTAATCACACTGACATTTTGCTTCATTTTGCCTAATTTGACTCGCAGCTCTTAGTTTGATTAACATCACTGAGAATGAAGCCGGCTGATTGCAGCAGCTGCCGAGCACTGTGTTAAAATGCATCAGTATGACTACACGTACATTAGCTTATAGCAGGGAGTGCAAACTGAGGACAGTCTAGTTCAAAGCAACTGCATTATGTAGATTTGTTGTTTGCAATATTTTTTACCAATCTGAGTGTACAGCTGTGTAACACATATGTGGAATAAGACATGCTTTGTTGCTTTCAGACACGGATTTCATCACTTCCCAATGTCTGCATTGTGTAATTTAAACAACTTCCTCTCTCTTTATCTTTGCTCGTATACTTGATTGCGTATCAGCTGAGAGATTAGATGTCGCCCGTTCCTGCCTTTATTAAGAGGGCCTCAAAACACTCTTTTCAGGATGATATAAAGATGGCATCAGTTAATCCAGCATTTCAATTACAAGCTGTCACTCAGTGTCTCTCTCTGGGGACTGGCTAAGACTGCAGCAAGGAGAGATACAGCAGGCAGGGAAGATACAGTCAGATACTGTGTAACGTGGCACAATGCAAATGCTCTGCTTCCCATGAGAAAACACTGCCATTATCCGTGGGCCATCTGAACACAGCAGAACAGAGATCAGCAGAACAGCAAACTAATCCAGATCCACAAACCTCTTTGGGTTTGCCTCTTAATCAAGCCTGGTAACAATTCTGAGGCACGGCGGCAGCACAGACCCCACTGTTCCAGCTATGTGAAGTCTTACCATCTAAATTTGGCCAGGTATGTTTTACTGCTACAGAGGCATTAACAGTCAAATATAATTAACAATCCAGAACACAGGTTCACATCACATCACAAGCCAATACAGTTCAATCAGGAGAGACTTAACGTTTGAATCAACATAAGAAAAATGAAAAGGCTTCGGCGATTAGACCCCATCGTGGCATCATCGTATTTAAAAGGGGTTGGTGAAGCCATGATTAGTACAGGAAACCCCCTGATGGAGTCTAGAAACAGGTGGTGGTGGTGATGAAGGAATGGAGAGAATGCTGAAGATCTGGATGTGATGAGGAGTGGACTGATGAGCTCAACCTGGGCACTGGAAATGATGAACTGGAGGTGAAAGGGGTGGAGGAGGGTCGCAACAATTTTACACTGAAATGACAACTGAAAGCAGCAGAGAGGAGAACAGATTTAAAGTTTGACAGGAGTAACATGATTGGTTGGCTGGAGGGAAATTGTGGCTAAGTCTGACTGGATTACCTGAAAGAGTGAACGTCCGAATCTGATTCGAAAGGAGAGTGAGAGAACTGTAAATGAATGAGGCAGAGGTCTTCCTGCTTGAACTCATGCTGGGCTTCATTACCCCTGCATTTAATGCTAAGTGAATGTTCAGTTTTAGTTAAGATTGTGCCAGCGAGATGTTGATTCAGCTCAATGATAATAGGCCCTTTTTTCGCAGCACTTGATAGCAGGAATAGCACACGTGTTCATTAATAACATTAATTATGGCTGCATTGCATTTAGGTGCTCCAGTTCCAGGACCCTGATATTATGTATGCTGATTCACTGTCAAAGCTTGCTGGGACACTTAAATGGAATAGAGCCATCGTTAATGTTATTAGTAACACCTGTGCTTTTCCTGTTATTACAAATTAAACATTTCTGCTGCATTAGAAAGGGCTGATCAGAGGCTGTACATGAAACAAGGGTTTACAGATGACAGCAAATAATATTAAACATAAAGCTCTTTAAATGATGTTACAATATATATCACAATCTGCTTGAAACCATAAGATTTGTTTTCCCCTAAAAAAAGATTATAGCATTATCTATCCCATTATCTGACCATATTAGACACAGTGGAGCAACACTTATGGAGTAAATTTGGACACTCTCCACTTTAAATTTGCAGTTTAACTTCAACAATTATGTAGTATTACACTAAATCTCTATTACACAGATTAGGATTATTTGTAAATCAGATTTAACCTGTCACTATAATTGACTGATGAGTATATAAACCAACATTTAAATATTATATTCACAAAAAATGTTATAATAAGACTTAAAAGTAGTTTTTCTTAGTTGATTCTGAATATTTTGATTAGCACAAAATCCTAAAATTGCAAAAAATGAAATCTGAATAGCGATGTCAACATATCCATGACAATTGAGAGAACTCCACTGATGAAGACCATGCGATATGTTTGAAAAAGCTAGTGAGTGGACCTTGAGTTGGTGTTGTTTTGTCATACACTGTAATCTTAAATTACTGTTAAATAACATGCAGAATAAAAATAACATTATGGAACATATTACAGTGCTGGTGTAGATTATTAGTTGAGTATCTGTGGCATTCACAACAAGAAGGTCTTTTTATCCAGACTAGAGTTCAATTAGGCAATTAGCAGCATAAATAAGTAGGAAAAAATAGTTATTGTTTAAGTAAAGCAAATTTTT